GCAAAAATGGGGTATTTAAAGGTAAAGTTCTTACCCTTGTAGCCCCCTTCAAGAACAGCACTCCAGCTGCTTTCCTTAGCTCAAAACCAGCTCAAAACTTCAAGAACAACCTAATGGCTCCTCAGCAACCAAGGTAAGGTGTAAAACTAGGTGTTTGTGCACAAAAGTAAGGACAAACACACACTTATACACAAAGAGAGAGAGATATAGAGATAGAATAGATACACTATGGCTAACCCTAATCCAGACCTCTGGAACTCAACCCTCTAACCCCCGAGGAGGGAGGAGAAGCCCTCCTCTTATAGAGGATCACTCTTGCAAAGCTTACAAGACAAGCTAAGCAAGAGTGAAATCCCTCCATACACGTGTATGGAGGGAGTGCAAGGTGTATGCCAGCTAGCACAGTTGGCATAAAAATATCTGCAAAAGCAGATGCACAGTGGTCGGCCAGCCAAAAATGACAAAATGGCAAAATACATGGTCGAACGACCATAAAGAGTGCCGACTGACCAAACATATGGCCGATGGCAACAAAACAATGGCCGGTGGCCCGAAGCCATGGCTGGTGAGGTGTGGGGGTGGCCCACAAGCCACTCTCTGCCCCTCAAAAGCAAAACACAAGTGTTTGGTGAAAAACCAAACACAAAACAGTCGAGTCGAGATATCCTGAGGCAAGGCGCGTGGCCGAGACCTCTGGGAACTCATGACGAACACAAACATGGATGATCACCGAGTGTTCAAATAGTGACGTCCAAGTCTTGAGGACGGTCAAAAATGGGGTGTCTACAATATGAAGCTTTAAATATTGGCTTGGAGTTAGCAATGAGTCTTAGGATTCCACACTTGAGGCTGTTTGGGGACTCACAACTGGTGATAAGGGAAGATATTGGCCAGTATAAGTGCAATAGTGCAGTGCTTGGGAAGTATCTATACCAGGTATTACAGTTGGTTAAGGGTTTTGAGACGGTAAAGTTTGAGCATATGTCTAGGCCCAAAAACAAGGAAACCAACAGAATGGCTCAGGCAACATCTGGTTTGAGAATCCCAGAAAGCTTTCAGGAAAGGATAATAAGAATTCAAAAGAGGGCAATGTGTTGTGCCAGTTGTCGACAGTAGTAGAGTTTGTCAATTTAGCCTTGGATATGTCAGAAGATGATTGGAGGCCATCTTTGATTAAGTATTTAAGCGATCCAGAGGCAAAAGTAGATAGGAAAATGAAATATCAAGCCATGGACTATGTCACTTTGGGGACTTATTTGTTTAGAAGAACCCATGATGGATTGGTATTGTAGTGTATTGGGGGTTTAGAGCAAATGCAAGTCATGGAAGAAGTTCATGAGGGCATTTGTGGTGCTCATCAAGCTGGTGAGAAGATGAGATGATTAATTAAGAGACATGAGTATTTTTGGCCGTCTATAAGGAAGGATTGTATCAGTTATGCAAAAGCATATCAGCAATGCCAAAAACATGGTAATGTGCAAACAATGCCAGCTAGGGACTTGCATTTAGGGCTGCAAATGAACCGAGCTGTTCATGAACAAGCTCAGGTCGGCTCGTTTAGTAAATGAGCCGAAGTCATGGAAGAAGTTCATGAGGGCATTTGTGGTGCTCATCAAGCTGGTGAGAAGATGAGATGATTAATTAAGAGACATGAGTATTTTTGGCCGTGTATAAGGAAGGATTGTATCAGTTATGCAAAAGCATATCAGCAATGCCAAAAACATGGTAATGTGCAAACAATGCCAGCTAGGGACTTGCATTTAGGGCTGCAAATGAACCGAGTTGTTCATGAACAAGCTCAGGTCGGCTCGTTTAGTAAATGAGCCGTTATTTAAATATTTATATTTAAATAATATAAATAATATTAAAAAAAATTATCGAGCCGAGCCGAACCGAGCTCGAGTTTTATTAAAATTAACAAGCCGAGTCGAGCCGAGCTCGAGCTCAATAAACGAGCTCGATAAGTAAACGAGCCAAGCTCGAGCTCAGCAAAGTTTGGCTCGGCTCGGTTCGTTTGCAGCCCTACTTGCATTCAATTGTTAAACCTTGGCCATTTAAGGGTTGGGCGATGGATTTGATTGGCCAAATATTTCATCCATCATCAAAACAACATGCATTCATATTAGTGGCTATTGATTATTTCACTAAGTGAGTGGAGGCAGTTTCATTAAAGGTGGTGAATTAGTCTCACGTGATTGACTTTATTACGAAACGTATAGTGCATAGGTTTGGTTTGCCATAAACAATCACTGTCGATCAAGGGACAGTGTTTAATGGTGATGAAGTCATGGAGTTTGCCAAGGTGTATGGCATTCAAATGATAAACTCATCTCCATATTATGCCCAGGCAAATGGGCAAGTAGAGTCATCAAATAAGACAATTAAGGCCAAATTGCGTAAAGTAATAGAGGATAATCCAAAGGATTGGCATGAGTTGTTATTTGAGGTATTGTGGGCCTACAGGAATTCAAGGAGGGATAGCACTCAGGCATCCCCTTATGAATTGGTTTATGGTCATGTTGCAGTTTTACCCTTCGAGGTGACAACGAGGTCCATTAGGGTAGTTAAGCATTATGATATTCTTGTGGATGAGTATAATGAGGCTATGTTTATAGAGCTGCATGATGTAGAGAGTAAAAGGGTTGATGTTTTTGAATGCATGATGACTCAAAAGAAGAAGGTGGAAAGAGTTTATAATAAGAAGGTTAAGCTAAAACTTTTTGGAGAAGGTGACTTAGTGTGGAAGACTATTTTGCCATTAGGTACAAAAGACCCTGAATTTAGCAAATGGTTACTAAATTGGGAAGGTCTTTTCAGGATCCATAAGGTCCTCAAGGGAGGTGCATATCAATTAGAGTCCTTGGAAGGACAACCACACATGAGGAATATAAATAGAAAGTACTTAAAAAAATACTATCCAACCATGTGGGAAACTTTTAAAGGAAATTAGTAAAGCAAACCATGCAAAATAAAGTGTTCGTATTTGTAACGTCGTGCCACTTCTCACATGAATACACCACAGTAAGCATAGCAATATACAAAAAAAAAAAAATCATCTTTCTCATTGAACTAAGATTCAAGAAATTACAAATTCAAGGTTACATTCCCAAGATACTTTAGACTCATTCCCAAGTTCAATGAACTAGATAACATTACCAAAAAGAAAAGCCCTAAAGGCATACAATATAACAACAAAATAAATTTAAGAGTCTTGATACAAAGCTCTAAGCCTTGGCAGCAAAATATTTTCGAGCTATCAATCCCAAACTGAATAACAACGTACTTCAAGTCATCACTGTAGTTGTATATCATCATGTCCTTAAAATTTAAATTGGGTTGCGCTATATGCCCAGTAGGAATATATTTAACCAAGTATTTAATCATTGGAATAAGCCTATGGCACCATTGAGACAAGACAAGATAAGTAATTAATATACATCTACAAACATAGTTAATTATGTAAATGAATGCACAGTTGGATAATCACATTTCCATTTCACATCAATCATCATCATATCAAATAAGAAAACATACCATGAGTCCCCCATAAGAGTCTAAATCAAAATACAAGTCACTTTTATTTAAAAACCATCCTCACATATGCCGACTATTATATGGCACGACGAAGGCACCCAAAATCATCCGTTTTTCCACTTTTAGCGGTTACAATACTGTAGGACCAATAGACACCCAAAAATATTTTCCCACATTCGTCCGGCGATAAGCTCAGACAGGACAATTGGGCACATTATCTCCCCGTGTGGGTACCAACATACAGAATCACATCAAAACCGACTCTTAACCCGGACTCATGCTCAATTTGCCAAACTTTAATTCAATCAACAAGTATTCAACATTGTATGAGATGAAATACACACATAACATTCAAGAAGAGTCAATTCCCAAGCCTCAATTTCAATACCATAGCATTATTCATATATTTCATCTCTTTATTATTCACAACATCTCAAGAATTCAAGAAAATTCCAATCTTAATACTATATTCTTCTCAATTTTGGAACTAGGGTTTTATCAAATTTGGGGCTTTCTCCCCATCTTCATAGATAAGTATCTTCTTAACATTAATATACACAAGTTGAGAAAAGATTTGGAAAAATGTTAATAAAAGTTGAGTAATATGTTCTCTTTGTATGAAATAAGAGTTTATCCAACCCAATCACCAAATTAGATTTCAATTCAGAATAATACCATAGACACATCTTCAAAACAAAGAAATACTAGGTTAAATGTAACCCTATCTTAAGCTATGAGCAAATAGACCAATCTTCTAAAAGAATCTTTCGTAAAAGCGGAATCCAATCGATAAGAAGGAAGATCTCCACTTGTACTTCACTGCTTACAAGTGATTTAGGTTGGATCTTAGATCGTGAGGAGTATTTTGGGGTGAAAACTTAGGGTTTTTCAGAAGGAGGAAGAAGAGGAAGAAGATACAAACAAAGGAGTAAGAAAAAGATCTAGCATGTCCCTTTTTAAATCGTTGATTTCATGCAGACCTCTCGAGCGCAACTTCCTTCGCTCGAGCGAACAATATAATTACGAAAAGATAGCTCGAGCGATCATTCCACTGCTCGAGCTAAAAATGAGAAGTCCCAGAAGTTTTGCAGAGCTACAATGAAACTAATGGGAGCTTATATTTTGCGCTTGAGCGACACTTTCTTCACTCGAGCGGTCTTACTTGTAAACTCACGAGATACTGGGAGCAGCGATTTTCCACTCGAGTGACACTTTCTTCGCTCAAGCGGTCACCTGGAACAAGATGCCACAATCTCTCTCCCTTAGGAAATTTTGCCCCTGAAATAGCATTCACTCCCAAAATCAATAAGAAAGTATGGCAACAATAATATACTTATCAATCTTTAACAACACCCAATTAAACAATATATCAATCTAAAACCAAAACCAAAGATATGGGAGAATTAGAAGATTATAGTTCATTTTCAATTTGTCCTATACGAAGAAGGAGCAATGAGACAATTACGTCACAAATTTGAAAATAAGTCCGGGTATTTCTTGCGGACCTCAGCTTCACGTTCCCATGTCATTTCTTCAACATCGTGATGGAGCCATAATACTTTAACTAATGGAATTGTCTTGCCCCTTAGCACTTGCTCCCGTGTATCAAGAATTTGGATTGGTTTTTCTTCATAAGACACATCTTTATCAACTTCAATCTCCATCCAATCTAACACGTGAGAGGGATTTGGTTCGTACTTGCGAAGCATAGACATATGAAACACATTATGGACTCTGGAGAGTTGTGGCAGTAAGGCAAAATGATATGCAACTTCTTTAATCCATTCGATAATGTCAAAGGAGCCAATAAATCGAGGAGATAACTTTCCACTCTCGCCAAATCTCATTAATCCCTTCCTCGGAGAGATCTTCAAGAACACATGATCCCCAACTTCAAAAGACAAGGGCCTTCGACAACGATCGGCATAGCTTTTCTGTTGGCTTTGAGCAGTGACTAATCTTCGTCGAATAAGGGCTACTTTTTCAGTTGTCTCATGAACTAACTTTGGCCCAAGCATAGATGAGTCTCTAACTTCTTTCCAACACACCGATGGTCTATAGGGATGTCCATAAAGAGCTTCAAATGGCGCCATTTCAATACTGGCTTGGTAGCTATTATTATAAGCAAAGTCAACTCAGAGTAGGTGTTTTTTCCAAGACCCTTTAAAATCTAGCACATTCGAATTGTCCATCAGTCTGTGGGTGATAAGTAGTACTAAAATTCAATTGGGTACCCAAAGCACTTTGGAGACTGTCATAGTATTGTTATAAAGCAAGGGTCTATATTGGACACTACACTCATCGGAACCCCATGGAGACGAACAATCTCATGAATGTAAAGTTCAGCAAGGAATTCTATAGAATCCCACATGCTCATGGCAAGGAAGTGGGCTAATTTAGTGAGTCTGTCAACAATCACCCATATTGCATCATTACCTTTTTGCGTTCTAGGAAGGCCTATGACAAAGTCCATGTTAACATACTCCCATTTCCATTCAGCAATTGGAAGAGGTTGTAGCAATCCTGCTGGTCTTCGGTGTTCAGCCTTAACTTGTTGACAGGTTAAATATTAGGACACAAATGAAGCTATATCCTTCTTCATACCCCTCCAACAAAATTGTCTACTGAGGTCATGATATATTTTGGTGCCTCCCGGATGCATTGCAAAATGAGAGTGATGAAAGTTCCACAAAACTTCATCCCTCATTGATTTTGGCACAAACAACCTGTCAAAGTAACAAACACTCGAGTCAGTATAAATGTTCAAGCCCCTCTCTTCTTTCCCTTGAGAGATTCTTTCTCGAATTGCATTCACCTCCAAAATCACCCATTTGTGCTTCCGTGACTCGATTAATAGGCGTGGGTTATACAACAGTAGTGCATAGAATGGCTTGTTCAGTAGATTCATGAAGCTATAAATCAAATTTTCTGACGTCTTTCATTCTCTCACCACCAAGTGTCACACCCCAAAATTTAGACAACTAAATATTAAATTAAGACTAAACCCCAATCAATATTCCATTATCCAAATCCTAGGGGTGAAACAAAAAAACTAAACGCCAACCAAACCATCCACCATAATTTCAAAACTATCCAATACCTCCAACATTAAAATAACAATAACTAGTCAAAATAGCTTAAATAATGTAAAGTTACAAACCATGCCAAATTATCAAAATACTAAGGTCATAAAAAAATATATATATTAAATACATAAACTAATATCAATCCTAAGCTCAAGAAAACAAAAGAAGGCCAAACGACATGTCCAACAACTTTAGTTATTCCATGTCACCACCATAACCCTAACTAATCTTGCAAAGGAAGCTCGGTTACTCTCAAACAGAACGCACCCGAGTTGCCAAGAGACAAAACGGGTCAGTATACAGGTATACTGGTATGAGTACAAGATTTAACACCCACGTGTCCACCAGATACAAACAAAAATACATTTAATTCTTGTTACGTTACAAGACAAGTAGTTCCAACCACACCGAGACGAATGAGTAGTTTCCCAAGATACGGTGGCATTTAGTTTCTTGCCCGTACACAACGAAATATATATTGAGTATAAAATAAACAAAATAGAAATAAAAATATGGTGGGTCAGCCCTACATAAAAAAGTTACTAAGACCCACCATCCTGCAAAAAAATAAAGTTAGTATAATTTAATCATAAATAACTTGCTGAAGAAGTATAAAAATATACCGTTTCATGCTTAAATAATTCGAATTGACCAAAACTGAAAGAACAAAAGTTGTACAGAATTAAATTTCCTAAAAGACAACACAAATGAATTTAGTAGAAACTGAACAGGTTGAGAGAAAAATTTGATATAAGAACCTAGATGGAATTCAACCGAAAAATCTGAAGCTGAAAACGAACAGAAATTGCCCTAAGATGATTTTTTTTGGAAAAGTTCAAAACATGAAAAGTGTTTAGAATAATGTTTTACTTCATTTTATACAAAACCAATAAAAATGAGCTCGTTCCGTGGGTTAAAACAGCCTCTAAAATCTGTATTGTTAAAATGAATCAAAACTACAATAACCAAGATCATCCGATTATAAGTTCTAATTGAACTTTTTAATAAAAAGTTAAAATACAAAAGTTGTCTAGAATCATGTATACATGCCTCTGCTCAAATTTCATAATTTATCGAGGTCGTTTACTATTTTTCAAATTGTACAAATCAAAACAATTCACACTATAACAATAAACTCATAATTAAATTCTTTGTATCTTAACTCCACCACTTCGGCCCTTCATTTCCGGCCTACACATATATCGCATGTGCCTCCCGTATACCTAACACCGCTCTGAAGCCAAACTTGCGCGGGGATATCGTCTTGAGTTTGACTCACAATCCCCAGATGGTTAGCATATACGTACGTACGTAAACCAAAGCACTCGTCTACTCATGAGAACGAGACAACAATATATATACACAACATCTCACTCATGAGAACAAACATAACAATGCCAAGCCTAAGGCATTCAAATAAATCTCATACACATAAATTACCCTCTCAATACTCTTTCTCATCATCACTCAAATAAAACAACAATCTATGGAGTCATGATGGAGTGTAAGGAATTTATCTATGGGTTCTAAGTTTATTTTAATTTCATAGATTCAAGAGTGTGATTACAATCATAAAATAAATACATATAAAAACCCTAAACCTGGCATACACAACTAATCAAAATAATTAAAATCAATCAATTATCTAAAAACCCTAAACCTTACATACATAACTAATCAAAATAATTAAAATCAATTAATCATCTAAAAACCCTAAACCTTACATACCCAACTAATCAAAATAATTAAAATCAATCTATCATCTCTATGTAAATACAAAATCAAACTAACATCAAATAAATAAAAATAACGAATTAAACATAAATAAAGGGAAGTGGGTTTTGTACTCACAATATTTTTTTGAAGAACAAAGAAATAATTTGAGAAGCACTAAGCCTAATGGCACAGGGGAAGAAACAACTGCTAACGCGGCAACGGCGGCAACTGCTGCTACCGGGGCAATGACGGCTACTACCGAGGCAACCAATATGGTACAGATTAATGTGGAGGAGATGATGGCTCAATTACTTCATGTTGTGCAGAACAATAATCAAAGTCAACAGGGAGATCCATTTGCGAAGAGAAACAAAGATTTTGGTTCTTTGGGAGTTAGAAACTCTCTGGAGATGGAGGACCCATTGCAGCTAACGCTTGGGTTCAAAAATGTGATATGGTATTTGGTTGTATGTAGCTCATCGAGGTCCAAAGACAGGAGTTGGTGACACATCAGCTTGAGGGAGCAGCCCTATTTGGTGGAACTCGTGAAAGGAGGGTCTAGATTTGACGACTTTGACTTGGGCAGATTTCAAGACCCGTTTTGACTGAAAATTTGTTCCTGCTGCTATTCGGTCTCAGCTGAGTGATGAATTTTCAAAGCTGACTCAAGAGGGTAGAACAGTGATTGAGTATGTCACCAAGTTTAATGAGTTGTCTCGATATGCCCCTTACTTGGTTGACAAGCAGGAGAAGAAGAATGAGAAGTTTATTAAGGGATTGAATCATTACTTGTCTAAGTCTCTTATTCCCTTTGATGCTAAACCGTTTGACAGAGTCCTTGACTTGGCACTGAAGTATGAGGAAAAGGAGAAGCAGTTTAAAGAAGGGAAGACCAAGGTCGGAGAGACTTCTAGAGGGAGTCACTTCCAGCAGCGGGATGGGAACAGATACTGACCCTATGATCAAAGACATAGGGGTCAGTGGTTTCAGAGGCCACAGCAACAGGGTAGTCAGGGAAATTTCAGACCTTAGGGTAATTTTCGGCCTCAGGGCAATTTCCAGCCCCAGGGGCACTATTATCAGAGACGGGGTGGTCAGCGCCCACAAGGTTATCAAGGACAGTAGCAGCAAGTGCCACAGTTGGGTGATCGTCCTCCCGTATCTCAGTTAGAGGGGCCCTCACCTATCAGACCAGTAGCACCTCAATCGATTAATAGGAAGTGTTTTGGGTGTCAGCAGTTGGGGCATGTAATCAAGGATTGCCCTCAGAGACAGTAGGCGTGACAAGGTTAGGCAGCTCCAGTCAGGGCATTTGCAATTATGCCAGGAACTGACAAAGTGCAAGGTACTTTTAATCTCTTTCAAGAACCCATTAGAGTACTTTTTGATATTGGTGCGTCTTATTCTTTTATATCTAGAAAGTTTGTAGAAAGAAAACATATTGTAACTACCTCATTATCTAGAGCTATTCGTGTTGAGACCCCTTTAGGAGGGGTTGTTACTCTTTATGAGATGTGTAAAGATTTTGAGATTGACTTTGCGGGCAAAGTCTTGTATGCGGACATAATTGTGTTAGGGTTTGAGGGGTTTGTAATTATTTTGGGTATGGATTGACTATGAAAACACTTTGTGACTCTAGATTGTGCTGGAAAGACTGTAAATATAGATATTCCCGGTATACCACGGCTTACTCACACTTCTAGCGATGGAGAAGAGTCGGTGATAACGAGTTTTTTATGCTCGGTAGAAATCCCTAAGCAGGATATTAGTGAGGTAGATGTGGTACGTGAGTTTGAGGATGTATTTCAGGAGATACCTGGACCTCCTCCTCGACGAGTAGTAGAATTTCACATTGACTTAATGCCAGGAACTGCACCAATTTCTAAGGTGGCATACAGAATGGCGCCTAAAGAGTTTGTGAAGATGAAGAAGCAGCTAGAAGAGATGCTTCAAAAAGGGTTTATTCGTTTAAGTAACTCCCTATGGGGAGCACCGGAGATCTTTGTCTCCAAGAAAGGTGGCACTCTCCTTATGTGCATAGATTACAGAGAGTTAAACAAGGTGACTATCAAGAACAAGTATCCACTGCCTAGAATTGATGACTTGTTTGATCAGTTGAAGAGGGTAGCCATGTTCTCTCAGTTTGATCTCAGAACGGGTTACCATCAGATGGGTGTGTCAGAAGAAAGTATACCGCTTACTGCTTTTCGAACCCGGTATAAGTTGTACGAATTTCCTGTAATGCCTTTTGGTTTGACAAATGCTCCTGCCTATTTCATGGACTTGATGAA